TTTCCCGCAATGTTGCTTTGGAAGATTATGACATAATAATCTTATCTGATACCTGGTTACGTGATGAGGTCAACGACTGCGAACTCGGTCTCCTTCCAAAATATTCAGTTTTCCGCTGTGATCGATGCAGTGTTATCAATAATGATATAAGAGGAGGCGGTGTTTTAATTGCTATCAAAAATCACTTTAATTGCAGTCAAATTATTATCCACAACAACAACATCGAACAAATATTTATAAAATTAACTATTGGGTCCACTACACTTTTAATTGGTGCTGTTTATATTCCTCCGCACTCCGGTGTAAATGTTTATAATAGTCATACCGATACAGTAAATAGTTTATTATGTCAATACACTACTTCTAATATTATTCTATTAGGTGATTATAATTTGCCTGCTATTCAATGGTCTCTACACAGTGAACCAACAATTTCTCTATATGGGAAAATTGAATCTGAAGCATTATCAAATTTTTCCTTTCTCAATTTAAAACAATTTAATTATATAAAAAATCGCAATAATTCTATTTTAGATTTAATTTTATCAAACTCTTCGTATATTACTGTTTCATGTGAAATATCTACTTTGGTTCCAATTGATTATTTGTATCACCCAGCTTTGCTAATTAAATTTCCTATCTGTGAAATTATTAAACCATTAGACTTTAATTACACTGTTTATGATTATATTAATTGTGATTATAATGTTATAAGGGCATCATTAGCTAATATTAATTGGGATCTCTTGTTTAATGGATTAAATATAAATGAAGCAATTACAATTTTCTATTATAACGTTTTTAACATTATTGATAGTTATTGTAAAAAAAAACATATTTTACGTATAAACATCCTATATGGTTCAGTTCAATATTGATTGAATTCACATATCAAAAAAAAATTGCTCATATGCTTTTTAAGCAAACTCCTACACAAATAAATTATAACACCTTCTCTAAACTTCGTGCAAAATGTAAATCCCAATCCAAACTCGATTATAATAATTATATTATCAAAACTCAAAATTCATTAATTACTAATCCTAAATATTTTTGGAAATTCTTTAACAATAAAAAAACATGTTCAACCATTCAAAACACTATGTCTTATAATAATTGTCAATTAACTGGGGGTAAAGATATTGTATGTGGTTTTGCCCATTATTTTTCCAGTGTTTATAATAATAATTTAAGTACCACATCTTCAACATATCATGCGTCGTCTCCTTCCTCAAACAATTCGGCTGAAGTTAATTTACACTCATGCCAGATTAGTCTTACTGATATTTTAAATGAATTTGATTTGATTACTAACAAAACTAATCCTGGTCCTGATATGATATCAAATCTTTTCTTCACTAAATGTAAATTTGTTCTTGCCTCTCCATTATTGTATCTATTTAATTTTTCCCTTTCAACGGGTTGTTTTCCTTCTGATTGGAAAATCAGCTTTGTAACACCGATAAAAAAAGGAAAAGATTTATCTAACTTAATGAACTTTCGACCAATATCCCTGATCTCTATTATACCCAAGATATTTGAATCTATAGTTTATAATCAAATTTATGCTATACTCGCCCCAATAGTTAATAATGATCAACACGGATTTTTAAGAGGTAGATCAACGACCACTAACCTATTAATTTTTCAGAAATTTATATTGGATGCTTTTGCCTCTGGTTTTCAAGTTGATGTAATCTATACTGATTTTTCTAAGGCTTTTGATAAAGTTAACCATATTTTCCTATCGAATAAGCTTCATTCTATTGGTATCCGTGACCCATTTTTATCTTGGTTGATTTCTTATATCACAAACAGAAAGCAGATAGTCAAAGTAAAAAATGTTATGTCAGATCCGTTTACTGTTCTATCAGGAGTTCCCCAAGGTTCACATTTAGCTCCCTTGTTATTTATTTTGTTTATAAATGATTTACATTTTTCAAACTCACGTAAACACTTCTATTCGCAGATGATATGAAAATATTTCGGTTAGTAAAGTCCTCCTCGGATTCTATCCTCTTGCAAGATGACTTAAATACCTTATCAATCTGGTGCAAACAAAACAATTTATTATTGAACACTGATAAATGTAAAGTAATGTCCTTTTCTAGAACACGTTCTCCGCTTCTCCTCAACTATTATTTAAATAATGCTTTATTTCATCGGGTGTTTGAAAATATCGATTTAGGCGTTACGTTTGACACAACATTATCCTTTAATAGGCATTATTTAAATATTTCTAAAAAAAGCGTCATCCATTCTTGGATTTATTACTAGAACATGTAAGGATTTTTCATATCCAATAACGTTAAAAACACTATATTTTTCTTTAGTACGCTCAACTCTAGAATATAATTCTATAATCTGGTCGCCTTCTGCAAATATTCATACTCAATGCCTCGAATCAATCCAAAACCGTTTCCTTCGTTTTTTATCTTACAAATGTAATATTCCACGACTTCCGCATTCTCCATATAATCCTTTATTAAGTACTTTAAATATGAGTAGCCTTGCCGTACGAAGGAACATACTTGATTTGAAATTTTTATTTAAATTGGTAAATGGCTATATAGATTGTCCAGAACTGCATAGTTTTATAAATTTTTATGTACCTCAACGACAAATTAGGAATACTTACACCTTTCACAATCACTTGCACAGAACAAACTATATAATGAATTCACCTTTAAATAGAACCACTAGATTAGCTAATGAAACCCAAATTGATTTTTTTAATATTCACTCTATTGAGTCTTTTTGTTATTATATTAATATATATTATCTGTAGTCACATTAATGTTTCTATCACTCAAATTATTGTATTATTATATTATTATTTTGTTTTCTTGATTTATACTGTAACTCATTATAACTATATTTAATCTCACCTGTTATTATACACATATTAAACAATGTATTGGGCGTCAGCCCGTTTAAAATTAAATAAATAAATATATCTAAACTATATTATAATATATTTGAGATACATTCCGGTGTATGCTTTAGCGAGATGTTTATTCGAATGGGAATATTATAATCTGAAAATGGTATAATATTTTTAGATATGTGTTATGTTGTAGGTACCTACCTTATATGATATTATGAGCATGTATATGTTAGTGTGTATGTATGTATGTATGATATAGTCGATACAAATGTACATCAGAATATTATATTTTTTTTTTAAGGGGTAAATAAAAGGGGAGGTAATATATTTGATTAGGAAGGGGTAAAATATATGTCGGACAATTGTTCGATATAGTCGATACAAAATATGTACATCAGTATAATATACATATTTTTTAAAGTGTAAATAAAAGGGGAGGCAATATATTTGAAGGGGAAGGCGTAAAATATATGTCTGTCACGTGTCGGATTGGGTGGCGTGTGACGAGTTTATGTGTGTTGCGGGTTGCCTATATTGAGTAATTTATACAAGATTCGGAGGAGTCTGTACTACGAATTGCCTATACAGAGGAGCCTATGCTTTTACATGTAAAATTAAAGGGGGAGGAGACCCAGAACATACATATTCATCCTACTAGTTATTATTTCACAAACTTTTAATTATTTTTACATTAAATAAATCACCAATATAAAATAAGTTCAATAAAAAATTTTAAATGAAACGTGCATTATATTATGTTCACGCGTGTGTTGAGTTGCCTATTTATCAATTTTTGGGCAAAGCTTAATGTTATATTTTAATACAATAAATTACTATTACTAATGCATTTGTTTTTTATTTATTTTACTTCACCAATGTTTTTGATTTTTTTTTTTAAGGACAGTAGTTTTTAAATTTTGCAGTTTGACATAAAAAATACGTAAAAACATTTTTTTTCTAGCTCAGGCTGACTCACGTGTACTAACGGTTTATTTTAAGACTTATAATTTTTATATACTGCTAGTTGTCAAAATTATTTTTTATTTATATTTATAATGAACCCGGTCATAGAGGAGTTGATCTATAATACTTGTTGCGGCCGAGTACGAACAATAATAGCCCGTGCGCTCGGTACCTAAATACTTCGTGCGCCGTTACACCACTACTCACCGACCGACCTGTGTGTTATGTGTGTATATGTGTTTTAGCACTCAACAGGAATTGGACAGGTTCGCCGAGCAAAACCTGTGAGTGCTGGAATGTAGGTGGGGTGTGTAGGTGTGTATGTAGGTGTGGGTGTAGACTTAACAATAATTAAAGACAAAGGTAACTCAAGAAAAAAGTGGTAACAATTGGTTGATTATTTGTTGCTGTATAATACACACGTCTAGATAATAATATAATACACAAATTTAATTTACAGCAACATAGTACGTAGGTATAACAAATGTAAAAAATATAATGAGCATAAATTAATAATTACTACGACCTGGACTAACAGGTGATAAAATTGAGTTAACAATAAAGGTGTGAAGACAGCCTTCAGGTATAATGTATAGTATATAATATAAAAATAATAATAACAAAAAAAAAAACTCACTGATTTACGGAGCACTGCTGGCCAGCCGCTACCTGTTTCTAATATAAATGGAAGACACTCACAGCATTACAATAAATTTTATAATTGACACACAACAATAATAACATGTAATAATAATAATAAGATGCGCGATTTGCGCTTACAAAATATACGAAATAAAAAAAAAAATGCGGTGATTCGCACCCACGAAACAATAAAAATCTTGGCGATTAGCGCCTTAAACAATGTTAATACTCGTGTTTTGTATTATTTTACGGCGATTCGCGCACGCAAAATAATAAAAACCGTATCGCTTGACCGTTTGTGGCGAACTGGTGAGATGGGCGGCCGTGTTAAATCTTCCACACAGCGAGCCGTCGGCGGCCGCATTACATAATTGTTTATCTACATTTATATATTACCTAATAATTCACAATTGACATAAAAATAATAAATACAAAGATTTGTGTTGTGTATGTGTGTGTGTCGTTCGGCCGATGTGTCGTCAGCCTGTGAAGCCCCACGACCGACCATCTAAATCGCGCGAGCATCGGCGGCGGCGCAAACATTCTCCCCCCTTTGAAAATTATGATTTTCAAAGTTCTGATCTTCCTCTTCTACCGGTAAACGGGATAATTTGACGACTGGTCGTTTGAGTTCATTACCATTTGATGTTTTCAATGTAACTACTCGTACAATACCATCACTTCCCGGATGAGTTTTTAGGATCTTTCCTAATTTCCATTTTCCTGGCGGCGTACATTCTTCTTTGATGATAACAATATCTCCAATTTTTACTTGCTCAGTTTGAGCTAACCAACGGCTTCGAACTTGAAGCTGTGGTAAATATTCTTTTGACCACCTTTTCCAGAACGTCTGCATCAAGGCCTGCACATATCTCCATTTTCGTAATGTGCTGATATTTTCATTGGATAAATCAGCTTCTGGGACCAGGAGCAATGGTCCCCCAATTAAAAAATGCGCTGGTGTTATGGGCTCTAGGTCTAGTGGATGAGAACTTAACGGGGTCAATGGACGAGAGTTCAAACATGCCTCAATTTGACAAAGTAAAGTACCTAGCTCTTCTAACGTGAGCTTAGCATCCTTAAGTACTCTAGTCAGATGGTGCTTTGCACTTTTCACGGCACTCTCCCATATTCCACCAAAATGTGGGGCGCCTGGAGGGTTAAAATGCCAATCTATTCCTTCTTTGGCTACACTTGCATCTACACTTTGCAGATAGGTTGCTAATTCTCGTTGAACACCCACGAAATTTGTAGCGTTGTCACTATATATTTTTGAACATTTACCTCTGCGTGCCATAAACCGTCGCAGTGCGGCAAAAAAGGCATTGCTCGTAAGCCCAACCACTGGCTCCAAATGTATAGCTCTAGTAGCTAGACACACAAAAACTGCAATCCATGTCTTTATGCTTGTGACACGGCGTATACCACTTCGAACATCTAAGGGCCCCGCAAAATCAACCCCTGTTGTCGCAAATGGTCTGGCAGGCTGTACTCTAGTACTTGGCAAGGTAGCCATGATCGGATTTTTAAATTTAGGCTTGGCTCGAATACAGGTAACGCAACGTGATGTTGTAGAACGAGCTATTATTCTACCCTTTACAGGCCAAAACCGAAGTCTGACTTCTGATAACAACAACTGGGGGCCTCCATGTAACAGTACTTCATGATAGTATATAAAAATTAGCCGCGTGACCTTATGACCAAATGGTAAAACTATGGGGTGTTTTTGTTCATTTGAAAGTGTTGAATGATGTAGTCTTCCTCCAACCACAAGTATATTGTCTGTACTGATAAATGGGGATAGTCCTCGTATCTTACTGTTTTTTGGCAGTTCCTTGCCAATACTTAGCGCTTTAAATTCCGCTTCAAATTCATCCTTCTGAGCACATCTTATCAACCATCGTTCTGCCTTTTTGAGATCTGATGCTGTTAGATACTTAAGACTCTTTCTCATACATTTCTTAAGTCTTAAGAACTCAATAAATTTCAAAATCCAAGCTGTTGCGCGAGTTAACTTCTCCCATTCTGAATGCTTATCTAGCAATGCATTTCTATGCTGTACTACAACCAGACTCAATTGCATGGTTCTAAGCTCTGGTAGTGCTTCTTCTGGTATCTGTTCAAGATCATCTTCCTTGCTCCACGATAATGTATCTTTTGATAGCCAATGTGGCCCAAACCACCAACCATTTGCTTGTTGCAACTCTTGCGCTGTTGTTCCTCTAGAAAGGACGTCGGCTGGATTTTCATTTGTTGGTATATAATGCCACTGTTTAGCTCTTGTTAGCTCTAGAGTTTGACTAACACGGTTAGCTACGAACGTCTTTAATCGTGATGAATGGCTGTTGAGCCACCCCAAAACTATCATTGAATCCGTCCACAAATGAATAGCTTCACACTTTATGCTCCAAGAGTCTGCTACCTTAGCTGCTAACTGAGCTAAGAGAAGTGCTCCGCTTAGCTCTAGTCTTGGAATTGTAGTTGACTTGAGTGGCGCTACTCTGGTTTTTGAACAAAGCTACCGTGATTGCCATGTGCCTTGATGATCTAAACTCCGTATGTATATGCAAGCTCCGTACGCTTCTATTGACGCATCACAAAAACCATGCACTTCAAATTGGTCACCAGATTGGAACTTGCACTTACGATGAATACAAAGCTCCTTAAGTAACTCCAGTCCAGAGTAGTACTTTCTCCACTTTTCTTGGATATCTGCTTGTAGTGGTGCATCCCAATCAATTTTTTGCTGCCAGAGATGTTGAAGAAAAATCTTTCCTTTGATGAGCACTGGACCCAAGAATCCTAATGGATCAAACACCCTATTTAGCTCTGATAGCAACTTTCTCTTAGTCAACGTTACTCTATCTAACGGAATCGCAATATTAAACTTAAACTGATCAAGTGATGGTTGCCAGCATAGACCTAATGACTTCACAGTATCCTCGTCACCTAAATTTAAAACGAAAAGAGGATCCTTATCGTTCTCACTTATGTTGTCAATGATTAAATGCGAATTCGAACACCACTTTCTTAACGGTAGCTTTGCGGATTCCAAAATGACGGTTATATGCTTTTGTAACTGCATACATTCTTCTACCGTATCACAACCTGTCATAAGATCATCCATATAGAAGTCTCTACTTATTACTTCTGCCACCTTTGGATTCTCCTTTTCTATTTCTTCAGCGAGCGTAACTAAGCATTGCGTGGCCATAAAGGATGCGGGTGTCGTACCATATGTAATTGTCAACAGATTGTAGGTTCGGAGCATTTCACTTGGATTTGCACGCCAAAGTATTCTTTGTAAGTGACAATCCTCTGGCGATATCATTATCTGCCGAAACATTTTTTCGATATCAGCCGTGATTACGTACTGATGTTTCCGAAACCTAACTAGAATTGAGAAAATATCCTCTTGGACAGTAGGCCCACGCATGAGTACATCATTTAGTGCCAATCCGGATGTAGTTCTTGCTGAACCATCGAAAACTACTCGTGTCTTGGTTGTAAGACTCGAAGACTTCAGCACCGGATGAGGTGGTAAATAGTATCCCTTTTTAAACAATTCTTCTTCGGTCGTCACTTCTCGCATATGTCCCATATCAAAGTACTCCTTCATGAATTTTACATACTCGACTCGTAACTGTTCATCTCGTTGAAGTCTTCTTTCAATATTAATGAACCTTGAGGTTGCCATCGCTAAACTGTCACCTAAGTTTTGCGTCTCTGGCTTGGTTGGTAAACGCAGTACAAAGCGACCATCTTCACTTCGCCTAACCGACTTCTTGAAATGCTGGAGAGTTTCCTCTTCTTCTTCACACCTTTGATTTGCCTTTGATCCTTTACCATATTGTTGCTCATCTGCAAGTATTGCTTTCCAGTCACTTTCCATTGTTTCTCCGAGGGAATTAATGCCTAGAAGACAAGTAACTTCGAGTCCGCCCGTGACTATCCAACCAAGTTTCGTGTCTTGTAAACTGAGGTTTCCGATTCCCAAAGACACGCGCTCTGCTTCTAGTAACTCATAAAATATCCCAGCTCCAATTAAGATATCGACTGACCCAGCTTTGTCGAACTTGGGATCTGCCAGTTTACATCTTAGATCAAAAGGAATGTTCCAATTACTTGTTTGTGCATTACATGCTGGGAGTTCACTCACAACAGTTGGTAACACAAAGCATGGCAGAATTATTCTGTAATTTGTGACCTTAGAATACACATGTATTTCTACCTTGGCTACAGACTGAACTTGACTAGCTCCCACTCCGCGAATTGGTAAGCTTGTCTTTTGAGTATTGAGCTGCAGGACATTTAACAGACTTCTCGAAATAAAATTTACCATAGACCCACTGTCTAATACCGCTCTAGTGTCACGCATAAAACCACGACTATCAGTCACTTGTACTATGGCAGTTGAAAGAAAAACATGGGTATCTGTTGGTTTTGCTGCAAAACATGAATGCACTGATGACCTTCGCTGATCTGGAGGAGTAGAAGAAGTTTGCGGATCTTCATCTTCATTAGTATATTGCTTTGATGCATAACCTTGACTGACTTTTTCAAAATGCAATAATGTGTTGTGCTTGTGCCTGCAGCGCTGACAACTTGACTTTGATTGACAAGCCGGAGCCATATGGTAAGGACTCAAACAATTAAAACACAAACGAGCACTTCTTACAATATTGAACCGGTTGCTCTGTGGAAGTTCCTTAAACCTTTCACAGTGGTATAGTTTATGCATCAGATTGCAGCAAGGACATTTATCAGACTTGTCTTCTGTTGCTGCTAACGCAACTCTTTTTCCGGTATGCGGATTGGTCCACTTTTTCTTGGTTCCAGAATTGCTATTGTCCCATGTTTCTGAATTTTCAAACGCTATACAACGACTAGCCAGGAATTCCTCTAATTCCTTATACTTTGGTAGTTCATTGTCTGTGCGCCGTATCTGCCATTCATGACATGTTCCATGGTCAACCTTTCTAAGCAAAACTGTCACTAACCATGCGTCCCACATATCTACTGGCTGTCCTAGCGCTTCTAGTGCTGCGACATGTGCAACAATATTAGAGTGCAGTGCCTGCAGCTCATTGGCCACAGCGGACTGTACTTGTGGAAAATCTAGTATAGCACGAATATGAGATTGTATTACCATACTCCTGTTTTCGAAACGTTGCTGCAACCTTTTTATTGCTACAGAATAGTTATTTTCGGTCATTGGAATAGCCTTGATAACATCCAATGCAGCACCAGAAAGCGAGGATCTTAAGTATGCAAATTTTTGAGCTGGTGGGTAAGCATCTTCGTTGTGCACCATGCCCTTAAAGCAATCAAAATAGGATTCCCACTCCTGAATGTTGCCATCAAATTTTGGAATGGTCAATGGTGCCAAACGAGCTCTTTGCATGGGCATGGAATTCATAGTATTATTTTGAATGGACGAGTTTTGACTTTTTTCTGCGTTGATTAATTCTTGCATTTCGGATCTAATTGCAAAATAATCATTCTCAAATTCCTCTCTTTCCTTGTCAGTTTCTGCGGCATTATCAAAATCAATAAGCTCTATCTGAGATTGAACATCATCAAACTTACGATTGATTTCTGGTAATTGTTCTTGTCTGAATTCTAATAATGTTATCGCGTCCACAGCAGGTCTAAAATTTTGAACAAACGTGCGAATGCGTGTTAGGGATGCTTTGACCACCCCCCTTTTTCTTCGTAAATCACCTAAGACCTTCTTATCACTGTCATCGAGAACCATGTTGTCCTGATAACTTCAACACCAAACGTTTAGATATAAAAAACCAACAAACTACAACAATAATAAAAGTTTTTATCAAACGATAACTAATCCGACTGATAAGAGCTAACTTCTTAAATTGATACTCGATAAATTGCGAATATGGATAATAATAATAATAAAAATAAATAAATATATTATTTAAATCCGACCACAAAAGTAATTACTTCTACCAATATACTCTTCCGTGAGTCAAAGATAATACTGATACCAAAAATGAAATATATTATAACTAAAATATCACGTCGAGGTCACCAAATGTTGCGGCCGAGTACGAACAATAATAGCCCGTGCGCTCGGTACCTAAATACTTCGTGCGCCGTTACACCACTACTCACCGACCGACCTGTGTGTTATGTGTGTATATGTGTTTTAGCACTCAACAGGAATTGGACAGGTTCGCCGAGCAAAACCTGTGAGTGCTGGAATGTAGGTGGGGTGTGTAGGTGTGTATGTAGGTGTGGGTGTAGACTTAACAATAATTAAAGACAAAGGTAACTCAAGAAAAAAGTGGTAACAATTGGTTGATTATTTGTTGCTGTATAATACACACGTCTAGATAATAATATAATACACAAATTTAATTTACAGCAACATAGTACGTAGGTATAACAAATGTAAAAAATATAATGAGCATAAATTAATAATTACTACGACCTGGACTAACAGGTGATAAAATTGAGTTAACAATAAAGGTGTGAAGACAGCCTTCAGGTATAATGTATAGTATATAATATAAAAATAATAATAACAAAAAAAAAAACTCACTGATTTACGGAGCACTGCTGGCCAGCCGCTACCTGTTTCTAATATAAATGGAAGACACTCACAGCATTACAATAAATTTTATAATTGACACACAACAATAATAACATGTAATAATAATAATAAGATGCGCGATTTGCGCTTACAAAATATACGAAATAAAAAAAAAAATGCGGTGATTCGCACCCACGAAACAATAAAAATCTTGGCGATTAGCGCCTTAAACAATGTTAATACTCGTGTTTTGTATTATTTTACGGCGATTCGCGCACGCAAAATAATAAAAACCGTATCGCTTGACCGTTTGTGGCGAACTGGTGAGATGGGCGGCCGTGTTAAATCTTCCACACAGCGAGCCGTCGGCGGCCGCATTACATAATTGTTTATCTACATTTATATATTACCTAATAATTCACAATTGACATAAAAATAATAAATACAAAGATTTGTGTTGTGTATGTGTGTGTGTCGTTCGGCCGATGTGTCGTCAGCCTGTGAAGCCCCACGACCGACCATCTAAATCGCGCGAGCATCGGCGGCGGCGCAAACAATACTGTACCTACTGGCTACTGCTTGTCTGTAATCTGCATTATAACTGTGGAACCATTGTAGGTTTATCTTTAAACTCAAAATAAAACAAATAAAATATTTTTATACATATTTACGGTTTAAGGTAATTAGATTTGTGTTATTTGATACTTGTGTAGCTGTATGTGTTACTTGTTGTGAACGTATTAATTTAAATATTACTAATTAATGTTAGGTACTCTAAAATGATGGATACAAATACTCGTTACAAGTTACAAATAAATCCTAAAAATAAAAATATCTTAGTGGCTTGGCGCGGCGCAGTGGCTGAAATTAATCACACTACGTGATTGAAAGTAAGCAACAGCCGCTGCTACAAGTTCCCGGATGGGTGACCACCAGGGTTCGTAGTGCACAAAAACCTTGCCTGCATACATACGCGTGTTCCTAAGCCTAACTGACCGTACCAAAACAGTCCCAACCTTAACGTATTAACCTTACGAACCTTACGGGCTAATGACCTCAGTCGCCGAAGACCTAATTCTATAAAAAAAAAATAAAAATAATATCTTATTAACATTAAACTATAAATTTAATATTTAAAGCACAATTGTATTAAAAATACAACTTATGACACTATTGTTATTTTTAAATTATTGAATATTAATAAAATATTGATACTTTAATTAAAAAAATGCATAATTAAACTAAAGATCATTTAAACATTTTTACATTTATATTAAAGGAATCAGAATTGAATTAATAATTATAATAAAAATATTATAAATAAATTTGCATTAATTATCATGGCTAAGTTATTTGAATTAGTAAAATATGATATATTTATTATATCTAAACTTATATGACTTACATGAGTGTTCTACAATATTAGATGTAGTTTTCAATGAGCCAGATAGCTGGTACCATTGATTTTTCACTATTACATAATTTATATTTTGTGCTTAATAATGTACTCAATCAGATCGTCTATATGTTTTCCCTTTATGGCTTCTATTTCGAAAATCACTTGATTCCGGATCCTACCCTGAAATACTCAAACTTAGTTCCATAACGCCGATATTTAAATCTGGTGATATTTCTAATGTAGCCAACTATAGGCCAATAACTATCATCAGTCACATAGGTAAACTGTTTGAATCATTAGTCTTAAGTTCTATCCAATATGCGGTAAATCAAATCATAATAGATGAGCAACATGGGTTTCGCCCTAATCGGTCAGTTAACACATGCAATCTAGTGTTCACTGATTATGTGTTTGATGCCTTTGCAAAAAAGAATCAGGTTGACGTCATTTACACCGACTTCAGTAAAGCCTTTGATAGGGTTAACCATGCCGTTCTTATAAAAGTCCTTGCCGGTAGTGGTTTTGGGGAGCCTTTGTTATCATGGTTCAGCTCTTATCTATCCGGTCGCAAACAATTCATAAAAATATTTAGTATCAGATCACAGGTATTAAACACGCCGTCAGGGGTACCTCAGGGTGGCCATATTTCCCCGTTACTTTTTATATTGTTTATTAATGACATAAAGAAAGTTATTCGCCACAGTAAATTCTTACTATTTGCAGATGACTTAAAGCTATTTCTAGAAATTCGCTCAGTACATGACTGTCAATGACTTCAAAATGACTTGTATGCACTGGATGCCTGGGCTGTAAATATTGGTTTAGATTTTAATGTCTCCAAATGTTGCTCAAAATCTTTTTATATAGGTCGGACTCACTTAGAGTTCAATTATTTATTTCGTGGAACCTATCTTGCTATTGAAATTAGCTTTTAATATTATATAAAAAATTATTTAATATTATAATTGTTCTTTTGGAGGCAACGTAGAATCCATAGATTCAGTAGAAACGGGTATTGATAGAAAATAAAAAATATTGTCAAAATAATATACACTTTTGATGGAACCGAACATTAATTATTTAATTATATATTTTATTTTATACTTTTTAATCGCCTTTGCTTTATATTCTGTAACTTCGGACTTTGTACACGGTAACATCTGCAGTCTGCAGATGAAATCGGGTAATGTTCAGGGCCAGTTTTAGTGGGGATGGGGGTGTTCCCCCCACTTACGACACCTGGTTTATTTTAGTCGGCAAATTTTTCATTTTGATATAGCGGTCGGAAAATCAGCAATTATGATTTTATTATAATTTATGATTATTTCAAAATTCAAATATAATTTATTATACCTATTATGACCTAATATAATAGTAAATTATATTTAAGAACTACAGTCTACAAATAGGTAACAAAAAATATTTATGTGATGTAAATATAAATATAATATGGCATTTCAATCATATGATTTTGGCAGTAGCATGTCATGTAAGATAAATGGTACTCAGCATAAATTATCAGATATTGTTGGTCACAAAATTCCATTCATCCATGCCAAGCGCATCGATTGAATACATTTGTTGAATAAGTGAATCTATCAAAAACCCGATAGACTGCAAGGGCTGAATCAATTAAACTATTAAAGCTGTTTGGATATCATATGAACAAATTGTTGAG